TTATGACCGAAATCTGTAAAAAGACCATTTTCAGAGAATATTGTCTTCGACGTCTTGTCAAGGAAAACAGACATCTTAGCCGTGACTTTTAGTTTTTATATCCATTTACAGCTATTTCACCTGTAAAAGACCGAAAATTATTCTGAGTTCATTTAAGACCAAAAGTATGACAGAGCCCATTTGAAGACTGAAATTTACCGAAATTTGACAGATTATTTTAGACCCAAATATGACAGACTATTTTAGACCAAATAATTTCAAAGACCATATAAGACCGAAATAAGACAGAGATTATTTTAGACCCAAATATTGTCAGAGTCCAGTAAAAGACCTAAATTACTCAAAGTCCAGTAGAAATCAGAAAATAGTCAAAGTTCATTTAAGACCGAAAATTAGTCAGAGACCAGTTTAAGCCCAAAATTTAACAGAGACCAGTAAAGACCAAAAAATATTCAGAGTCCCATAAAGACCGAAAATTAGTCAGAGTCCACTTTAAGAGCGAAATTCGTCGATGTCCACTTTGAGTTTCTGTTTCTAGTGCTGTTTCCACTAGGTAGGAAATTATGAAGATGAAATTAGAAACTTTTTGGTTTTATTTTTGAATTAGGCAAAAGTTGGAAAGCTTTTCAATTCATTAGGGAGTGTGTTCCATAGACTAGGTGACTAGAGATTTATTGAACAGCAAAGCTATGGGTGGTGCAAGGGCACGAGAGGAGCTCTTGTATACCATGGATGGTATTTCACTAATGTTTCCAGCTTTGGTTTTTAGTGAGTGAATGATGGATACAACATCTGTAGGGCTGTTCAGTGAGAGGAGAAGAGAGTTTGGATAGCTACCTGAAAGATATGTGGGAACATGTGTCTAAGTATGTGGGATTTTTCGGGCAAGGTTAGCACCAATCTATGAAAAAAATCTGTTAAATTCAGTTGCTGTTTCAAGTTCTGTTGCAGGTCTATAACTATCCTTGGAGATTTTTATCTGGTTATGTGGATGTTGTTTAGCTCCTAGGATGTTAGAGATGGCTCTCCATGTGCTTTTCATGTTGCCTTTTGCTTCTTTGAATCTATTCTCGTAGTAGGAAAGTTTTGTTTTTCTTATTATACTGGTAAGCACTGATGAGTACCTCTTAACTACTTCCTTTGCAACTAGGCCAATCCTAATATTTTTGTATTCATGTTTCTTGTCGATTGCTTTGAGTATGCCATTTGTGAGCCAGGGATTAATTAACCTTTTGCCAATTACTTCAACAAAATCTTGTAGATCTGAGGCAAAGTGAAATTGTCACCAGTAATTCCATCTATCATCATACTATCATGCAAGAGGAGTCACACATCTATGGTTCATCCAATAAAATCAGCAGACTTCTAGATGTTACTACTGCTCGGCTTAGACCCAGTTACAAGTATCTCTGGGAATTCTCATTATCTGCCGATGTAGACCTGACCAAATGTAAACTGTGTCAACAAAATTATTCGCACACCCTCTGTCACTATGTGATGGAGTGCGAAAACTGTTACGGCCCTACTGGGGCGTAACCGGGTTCTTTTCTGATATTAGAATTTGGGAATCCGGCCCCAAGTTAGTAGTGGCTTTCAAGGGGTGTGTTCCGTAACACAAGTAAATTAAAGGGGAAGGGATACAAACGCACTCATTTAAATATATATTCACCACCACCAATAAATAAATATATAAACAGTCACTCACTGGGGCTATAACTACACTTATGTACATTAACTTGTCTTCCTCTGAAGACACAGGATGCTCTACGGTGCTCAAGACGAGTAGCCCTGGTTCTCTTCTTGTGGCCTCACGATGAATCGTTCGATTCCCTAGGCGAATCTACCCTGGCCACAGGCCAGCCAAATCACAGTCCCACTGGGTGCACCGTCGTGGAGGCCTTCAACCACCAATCCAGCCTGTAACTAGCAGGTTCCAATCAGCTCTGCTGCGTAGGCCACACCACGACCGATACTAGGGTTGCGAGCCCTAGGCAGGAGCCTCGTGTGATTCCGCTGATCACTCTCCTCCCTCAACACCCCAGTGGCTAGTCTTCTCCACCAGTCAGCCCCGGGTACGACAATTCCTGGTACTGTCACGTCACAGGCAGGCTAACACTCAACAGTGTTCGTCCGGGGGGGGATGGCTCACCGCTCCTGCAGCAAACACGTGGAGATACTATGGCTGCCTTGGGTAGACTGACCATCGTCCAATCCAGCAGTCCCAGGTCGACTCTGTAATCAGACACGTCATCAGTACTAGGGACACCCTAGGGCACCTCACTTACAGGCTTAGACACAAACGTCCACCTATCCACTCCATAGATGGCGTTGCTGTCTAAGCGCCACCTCACCAGAGGTCAGCAGCGGCTATGTTACGAGCTGATTAAGATGGGAAACCAGCTCCTGTGGCCGGTATATCCCGCCCTCGCTAGATGGCGTCGTCCATTTGGAGGGGGTTTCGGGAGCTGACTCACAGATGGCGTGGACGTCACTGCTCCGTGCTACGACGCTGGGCTCGGGTCCGTAACAAAAAGATATGTGAATTTAGAGACAATTCTATAACCAATGTTCCAACAATGTGTAAATATTTAATTTAAAATGATCTGCTACCAGAAATTTTAGCCAATTCCCAGTTTGCTAACTGTAGGTAGTAACTGAGTGATTGTAACCTATCCACCGCTGCCCACTGGATGGGGGGCGGTGTGCAGGACAAACATATAAATTGTGACACTAGCTCTCCGCATATGTCAGTTGCTTAATTTAGAACCTGTACTTGAGGTCGATCTCGAACCCATTGTTGATGTGACAACTTATATTGAATTTTGTAACTAGCTCATCAAGATTGTAACTTGCTTAGCTAAATGAATTGTGGGGTTCAGTCCCTGAGCCCATTATGTGCCTCTGTAACCCTTTCCACTACCGCCCACAAGATGGGTATGGGGTGCATAATAAATGAACTAAACTAAACTGGCTGGTGAGGACGCACCCCTGGCCGGGGCCCGGGGCTCCCATGGTGGTTGGTGAGGACGCACCCCTGGCCGGGGCCCGGGGCTCCCATGGTGGTTGGTGAGGACGCACCCCTGGCCGGGGCCGGGGCTGGCAGTGTATGGGGAGCACCAGAGCTGCCTCAGTGTTTGACCTGTGTCACGGAATGTGATCAACTATAAACATATATGATGGCTCCCTAATTCCCCCCCCCCCCCCCACGTAAAATATTCAAGATAGATAGATTGTCTTATATTAAAAGTCACGGGAGGGTGTGTGTGGTGATCGATCCTCGCCCCTTCACTTATTATTAACCATTTTTCTTCATGTTTTAATTCTTCCATTTTGTATATACTGTACTGAAAATAGTCTCTAAAATTGGCGTGATGAATAACAGGGAAAGTGTTCTCGGCTTCAGTGGATACCTGCGAATACTTCCTATGTTTTACCCAAGTCTTCAGAGTGTTTGTATAACTCGGCCCCCATGTTCGGCTCGGTGGTGGCTGGGACTTGTGTGGTGGACGACCCTGTGTTGGGTGACCCAGGCGTGTGTGGTGGACGACCCTGTGTTGGGTGACCCAGGCGTGTGTGGTGGACGACCCTGTGTTGGGTGACCCAGGCGTGTGTGGTGGACGACCCTGTGTTGGGTGACCCAGGCGTGTGTGGTGGACGACCCTGTGTTGGGTGACCCAGGCGTGTGTGGTGGACGACCCTGTGTTGGGTGACCCAGGCGTGTGTGGTGGACGACCCTGTGTTGGGTGACCCAGGCGTGTGTGGTGGACGACCCTGTGTTGGGTGACCCAGGCGTGTGTGGTGGACGTCCCTGTGTTGGGTGACCCAGGCGCTTGTGGTGGACGACCCTGTGTTGGGTGACCCAGGCGCTTGTGGTGGACGACCCTGTGTTGGGTGACCCAGGCGTGTGTGGTGGACGACCAGCCCCGTGTGTTTTTAAGTGTCAGGATAGTTAACAAATGTAATTCATTAGGCAATGATGTGGTGGAGGCTGACGCCATTCACAGTTTCAAATGTAGATAGGAAGCTCAGGAATCTGTACACCAGTTCATTGACAGTTGAGAAGCGGCACCAAAGAGCCGAAGCTCAACCACCGCAAGCACAACTAGGTGAGTATACACACATGTAATGTGTGTAATGTACATTAGCCGTGTAATGTGTAACTGACTCCTGACTCCTGACGCCTCTCAGCCGTCAATCAACTGGTGTACAGGTTCCTGAGCCTACTGGGCTCTATCATATCTACATTTAAAACTGTGTATGGAGTCAGTCTCCACCACATCACTTCCTAGTGCAATCCATTTACTAACTACTCTGACACTGAATTTTTTTTCTAATGTTTCTGTGGCTCATTTGGGTACTCAGTCTCCACCTGTGTCCACTTGTGCGTGTACCACCCGTGTTAGATAATCCATCCTTGTCTATCCTGTCAATTCCTCTGAGAATTTTGTATGTGGTGATCATGTCTCCCCGGGCTATTCTGTCTTCAGGGACGTGAGGTGCAGTTCCCTCAGCCTTTCCTCGTAACTCATGCTTCTTAGTTCTGGGACTAGCCTAGTGGCATACCTCTGAACTTTTTCCAGCTTCGTCGTGTGCTTGACAAGGTACGGGCTCCATGCTTGGGCCGCATACCATGTGTGGTACCCCACAGGTACACAGTGGGGCGGACACTGACTCATGTGTGGTACCCCACAGGTACACAGTGGGGCGGACACTGACTCATGTGTGGTACCCCACAGGTACACAGTGGGGCGGACACTAACTCATGTGTGGTACCCCACAGGTACACAGTGGGACGGACGCTGACTCATGTGTGGTACCCCACAGGTACACAGTGGGACGGACGCTGACTCATGTGTGGTACCCCACAGGTACACAGTGGGGCGGACACTGACTCATGTGTGGTACCCCACAGGTACACAGTGGGGCGGACACTGACTCATGTGTGGTACCCCACAGGTACACAGTGGGACGGACACTGACTCATGTGTGGTACCCCACAGGTACACAGTGGGACGGACGCTGCAGCTGGTGCTGTACGTGCTGGACATAGCTACGGACGTGGGCGTGGCGGTGGCAGACTACAACAATGGTCAGTCCTCGACATTCACGCTCCTTCGTCATCATGTTCTATCTACCTAACCTCAGGTAAGGTAGTCATTTTTGCATCATCACACCTAGTTCATATTGCACTATTAATGCAGCGCAAAAATGCTTTGTGACACAAAGGTTGTACACCTTACAAATGTTCCTTGCCAGAGGACTACGTTTTCATTATTACGCTAAGTATATATTTGAATTATTAATAATATAATGCAGTTTTGATTAGGTAAGGTAAAGGTAGGTAAAATGAGATTAGTTAGGGTTAGGTAAGGTTAAGCAGTAAGAAAGAAATTATGCTTTTGATCTCAATTAGTATTTAGGTTTAGTCCAAGTTTTTTCCCACACCTTACCTGAAACGTTGTGCGTATTAGTGGCTTCAGGCATTGTATGTACTAGATTTTTCTATAAATCTAACATTATGTTTGTAACTCATTATCAATGTATGTACCTTTACCTGAATAAACATATTATCTTATCTTATCAGAAGAAGGCACCAAGCCGGAAAGAATATGTAGCTCCAACAGTGTTGTTGCATATTCAAAAGGCGCTAAATAAACTAAGATGATCATACGAGTGAAAACGCACTTAAATAGGTATCCACAGAGTTAACAAGGAGCGCATGTACGTGAAAATTATCAGGGAGAGTATATTGATCATGTCACGTATCAAACTACTTAGACCACACAGTGGGATCAAACAGATCATGGAATGTATCAGTGCTTGAAGGAATTATACAAGTTTGAGTGCTGTGAGGGTACCGTGATCCCCCCACATTAAAGAGGGAGGTAGAAGACACAGTTGTCACGAAGAAATATGGAGCATAAACAGGTAGTCAGCACCAGCTGATCCTCTTCGTTTCCCTCCCACTTCCTTAGTAGGATTGAGCCATGGGGTAGCCAAAGATGAAGCCTAGATCTGGGCCCAACGTTGCCCAATCGTTGGAGCCCAATCTGTCGACACTGTTAGACTCGACTCAAAAGCCTGGTCCCCAGTCCCACGAGCATGTTTGTGAGAAATAGTTTCATTTCCATGCAACAATGTTTTAAAAGCTTACCAGAGCAGCAAGGAAGAGCGAGTGCTGCCCATTGCATACCGGGGAGCATCGTCCCAAGCGGTGACCCCCTTTTAGCAGGGACTTGCTCCTACACTGGTGCAAGGACCTCTTTTCCTCCTCTCACACCAGCTGGACACCCATTCTACCTCCAAAGAGGGCCCCTTACAAGTGACCCTTTCAGAGGTTGTCCAGTGACCCGAACAGATGCCTTGTATTCGTTTTATTATGCACGTACAACACCCAGAGAGGGGTCCAAGGTAAGCTTAGCTTAGGTAAGGAAAAGAAATGTAAGGTTAGGTTAGGTAAGGTACAGCAAGGCAAGGCTAGGTTACTTTACTTAACCTTTCCTGTTTTCATTACATTAATAATGCAAACAATGTATTGTGTGATAATGCACAAATGTTCTTTCTTATCCATCCTCAGATAAGGTAGTAAGCATATTCATAAGGTGTACCACCTTTATATCGCACAATGAAGTTTTGTACTGTATTAATAATGCAAAACAACCTAAATTTGGCAAATGGAAAAATGTACTACCTAACCGGAGGCCTCGGCTGTATTCTGTGTATTAAGATTAATTTTCAGTAATAGTCCTTTATGCCCCATGTGCATGGGCAGATCTACTATTAAACAAATGGAGTGTAAACTTCAGGCTCCCTAATCCCAGAAGGACCCCACAAGCAACTATTGTCCACATTGCTGAAAAATTCTTGGTCTACATCTCACTTAATCAAAATCTAAGATGTAGTTGTTATTTTTGTTCATGAGGTGATCTGTGATGGAACAACCCTTCATTGAAGAAGATAACAGTAGTTACCTAGACCTCGTTGCTGGTTACGAAGGGAGAGAGATGCCTTAAAATAGTTCAAGCATCAGAGCCCCACAAATTGTAAGTCTGCCCCATGTGACAACCGTTTCTGCCCTAAATGACAACCCATTCGGTCACATTTGACAACCCATTCTGCCCCGTGTGACCTCCGTTCTAACCCATGTGACAACCCATTCTAACCCATGTTAGAATCTTTGTGTCTGATTCTAACCCATTCTGCCCCATTTGTCAACTCCTCATTTCCAACGTGACAACCCATTCTGCACCATGTGAGCTCTCATTGTGCTCCATGTAACAATCTATTATGCGTCATATGACAACCCATTCTCCTCTATTGTGTCAGGTGGCACAGTGTTCTCTATTGTCCCAGGTGACACAGTGATCTCTATTGTCCCAGGTGACACAGTCTTCTCCTCTGTTGTCCCAGGTGACACAGTCTTCTCCTCTGTTATTCCAGGTGACAGTCTTCTTCTCTCGTGCCAGGTGACAGTCTTCTCCTCTGTTGTCCCAGGTGACACAGTCTTCTCCTCCTCTGTTATCCCAGGTGACACAGTCTTCTCCTCTGTTATCCCAGGTGACACAGTCTTCTCCTCTGTTATCCCAGGTGACACAGTCTTCTCCTCTGTTATCCCAGGTGACACAGTCTTCTCCTCTCGTGCCAGGTGACACAGTCTTCTCCTCTCGTGCCAGGTGACACAGTCTTCTCCTCTCGTGCCAGGTGACACAGTCTTCTCCTCTGGTGCCAGGTGACACAGTCTTCTCCTCTGGTGCCAGGTGACACAGTCTTCTCCTCTGGTGCCAGGTGACACAGTCTTCTCCTCTCGTGCCAGGTGACACAGTCTTCTCCTCTGGTGCCAGGTGACACAGTCTTCTCCTCTGGTGCCAGGTGACACAGTCTTCTTCTCTGGTGCCAGGTGACACAGTCTTCTCCTCTGGTGCCAGGTGATACAGTCTTCTCCTCTCGTGCCAGGTGACACAGTCTTCTCCTCTGTTATCCCAGGTGACACAGTCTTCTCCTCTGGTGCCAGGTGACACAGTGTTCGCCTCTGGTGCCAGGTGACACAGTCTTCTCCTCTGGTGCCAGGTGATACAGTCTTCTCCTCTCGTGCCAGGTGACACAGTCTTCTCCTCTGTTATCCCAGGTGACACAGTCTTCTCCTCTCGTGCCAGGTGGCACAGTCTTCTCCTCTCGTGCCAGGTGACACAGTCTTCTCCTCTGGTGCCAGGTGACACAGTCTTCTCCTCTGGTGCCAGGTGACACAGTCTTCTCCTCTGGTGCCAGGTGACACAGTCTTCTCCTCTGGTGCCAGGTGACACAGTCTTCTCCTCTCGTGCCAGGTGACACAGTCTTCTCCTCTGGTGCCAGGTGACACAGTCTTCTCCTCTGGTGCCAGGTGACACAGTCTTCTCCTCTGGTGCCAGGTGACACAGTCTTCTCCACTGGTGCCAGGTGACACAGTCTTCTCCTCTCGTGCCAGGTGACACAGTCTTCTCCTCTCGTGCCAGGTGACACAGTCTTCTCCTCTGGTGCCAGGTAACACAGTCTTCTCCTCTCGTGCCAGGTGACACAGTGTTCGCCTCCATAACGCTGGGGTTGGTGTTTGCTCCGGGAGTGCTCTTCGCCATCTACCAGTTCACAGAGGTGTTGACCAGCCACACAGGCTTCCTGGCCTGCCTTAAGGCACCACTCTGGCTCTTCAGCTTCCCTCTACTGCCCCTCTGGCCTGTTGTAAGGTAGGTGTTGTTGTAGTATATATGTTGGGTCCCGTGTAGCACAGTCGGGGTCCTTCTTGAGTCCTTTGATTGTTGCCGCCGGAGGCGGCTAGTTTATTGTGCACTCTATAGTCTGTCTGTCTGTCTGTCTGTCTGTCTGTCTGTCTGTCTGTCTGTCTGTCTGTCTGTCTGTCTGTCTGTCTGTCTGTCTGTCTGTCTCTCTCTCTCTCTCTCTCTCTCTCTCTCTCTCTCTCTCTCTCTCTCTCTCTCTCTCTCTCTACTCATCTATGGGGGCATATCCTGTGAGTTGAAGCGCAATAAAGGATTCCTGAGGGCACAAAAATTACAGATTGACAGATTGCGTAGGACCTGTCCCCTACACAATGAATTATATATATATATATATATATATATATATATATATATATATATATATATATATATATATATATATATATATATATATATATATATATATATATATATATATATATATATATATATATATATATATATATATATATATATATATATATTTGCCATGGGAGCCTACTCCCTTAAATTAGGGCAATGCAGCTGACCCCAACCCACCTACGTCAGTCTCCCTGTGTAACAAAGTAGGTTTGTTGTAGAGAATTATTCAGTATGGTTTCTCATACACATGGGGGCTTTGAAAGTTTGGAGTCAGATGGTACTCGACCTGACTCAAGTACTGGAAGGTCATCTCTCTAGGGATTAGCGGTTAAGATTACAAAATGGCCGGCGCCTTTGTCTTAAAGCAACGTATAATTAATTATTTTACAAAATTCAGTAATTTAGAAAATTCAAGTCTTCATTCAAATTGTACTCAATAATATATCTGTTCATGTATCAAGAGTATTCTCAATTGTCGGAAATAATGAGTAAGTCACCATCAATGACGTCACTAGCAGAGGACTACCTTACCTTACCTTGAGGTTACCTTGAGGTGCTTCCGGGGCTTAGCGTCCCCGCGGCCCGGTCGTCGACCAGGCCTCCTGGTTGCCGGCTCCTGGACTAGCCTCTGACGCGGAACAATTTTGGCAATTTTGGGTCAAGGGTCACCAAAGCCTTCCATAATTAGTAATTCTCAAAGCTCAACTAACTATATTGTAATTGGAAATAGCCTTTCCCTAAGATGCCTCTACGATTACCATCAGTTTATAAGAGTTCAACCATCTGGGTTGTTCAGTACAACAGAGATTACTTGTTCAATTTAAACCCTGCTAGTAAACTAGTAACCTGGCGTAGGAATACCCCTCTGGCTTCAGTGAGCAGAGCGAGGTAGAATCAGTGTGGTCTCTGGCAACAATTCGGGGAGGTCATCCACCCTCACCTCTCCCAAATAGATCAGAAGAACATCAGCTGGTCGCATTAAGAGGTATAGTTGTTACGGTTTTGTATAGGTAAATAATTCACTTTTGCCTCGATTGGGAGTGATAAGGTATAGGGAGTGATATTTCATTTAGCTGTTGTTTAGATTTTGCATTAATAAATAATTAGCTTGTTATTTGTATTTTATTATTTCCATTTTATGTGTTTTTCATGTCCTTGTCACGTAGTCTCCAAGAGTCTGAGTTTTAGTTGGGCCACAAGCCTAACAAAGTTTAAGAGTTCATTTATCCCTTTGTTTTCTATAATTCCCACACTTAACGTAGATTCATCCCTCCTTTTCCAAGTAACTTGGGGATCAAGCCCCAAGGCTTTAATGATTGATTAATTGGTCCAGACCCCGATTAATTGACGCTTCTGGTTAATGATCTGGTGGTGGCAGCAGAAGGAGATCCTTGAGTTTGCTGGTAGTCTAGTACCACGTCACGAGGCTGTAGAATCTTAGCCAATCGAACGGCAAAGACCACGTGGCGTGGGATTCGGCTAAAGTAGCTCTGGGGTCCCTTGGTATTGAGTTGAAGTAAATAGAATATGGGTAGGGGTAAGGGCGTAGAGAGAGTCGATTAGAGCCGATACACCCCCCCCCCCCCCTGTGTCACACCTGCTCCCTTCAGTCACCCTGCAAAGTGTAATGAGGTTTGATGATGTGACGACTTATACTGAATTTTGTAACTAGTTCATCAAGATTGTAACTTGCTTAGCTAAATGAATTGTGGGGTTCAGTCCCTGAGCCCATTATGTGCCTCTGTAACCCTTTCCACTACCGCCCACAAGATGGGTATGGGGTGCATAATAAATGAACTAAACTAAAGCTAGCTCCAACTGTCTAGCTTTCAACATTGGAAAGACAGACGTTTCATTTTATAGATACAGATTATTATTATTATAATTTGAGATGAATGGGTTACAAACAGTTTTTATTAATAGCTTCACATTAATAATTTGTAATAACGTTAAAAGTAAAGATTTAATTATAGTTCTTTAGTAAATTTTTAAGTATGGTCACGAGGCAAGCAAATAAGAAGCTAAAATTGTTGTTATTTGTGGTGCTTACAGAGATTTACGGCAGATATATCATGGCATTATGGCCATGTTGCCGAGCAAGCGGGAGCAGCACCTCCACCACCTAGACCGACCCAGCCGTGCCTACCTTATTAAGTTCCTCGAGGCCTTTACTGAAGCTGCTCCACAGTTCTTACTTAGACTCTACAAGATTACACTCAAGAGCCAAAACCTACCTTTCTCTCAGTTTGGTGAGTACAATAATGTTGTGTTCTGTACAGTAGTGGAGTACGTACACCCATACACAGCTAGTTACTACATATCTCACAGGCAGCTATCCCAGCTCTCTAATCCTTTTGACAATCAACGCAACAGACATTATATCCATAATACCCTATCTTACATACGGTATCTGTGCATGGGGTTCAACCACTGAAAACTACCTCAAGAACATCATCACCCAGCAAAAATCTGCTATCAGAACAATAACAAACTCCATGTTCAGACAACACTCAGCTCCCCTGTTTAAATCCCTAAACATGCTAAAAATAAACTCACTCCACACATTCTCTTGTGTCATTTACATTTACAAAACCCTGTTCTTAAATGTAAACCCTGTTCTGAAACTCTCCCTGGACAGATGTAATAGAACCCATTTTCACCACACCAGAAATAAATATATCTTTGATATCTCCAGAGTCAAATTTAATCTGTGTAAACACTCTATGCAAATAAAAGGACCTAGTCTATGGAACTCACTCCCAAACGAATTGAAAAGCTGTCCAACCTTTGCCTTATTCAAAAACAAAAATAAAAAATACCTAATCTAATTTTCATTATCATAGTTTCCTGCCTGGTGCTTTAAACTCGCACTGTATCTAGTGCTACCCAATCACCCAAAATATGTACCTAAGCCATACAACTTTACCATTGTAATCATTGCTATCATCTTATATCATGGTTGTTATATTGAACGCATATTTTATTGCATTTTACTTTGAAATAATCCTCAAATTATGCTACCATATACCTGTTGATAACCCCTCAAATTCCACTTTAACGTACCTACCTTTGTCAAATTTTCATACAATGTACCTGTTAAAATTGTTTACATTTTGCTAAAAATTACCTACTTAAAATTATCTGTTAGATTAAGACCCGCCCGAAATCTGTTGATTTTAACCTGCCCGAAACGCTATACGTGTTAGTGGCTTTACAAGAATGTAAAAATATCAATGCTATGTACTCTCATAAACCCAATGTACCTTCTTGTATATAAATATATATAAATAAATAAATAACTAGAGACTCTTGTGGAGAGTATATCTTTGCCCGTTTCATAGTCAAGGATGCCGAGGCTGACCTGACTGTGGGAGCAGTTTATAGAATTCCTAACGCTGATGTGTCTGAATTCAACTCTAACCTCAGAAATCTAATACTAGCAAACAGACTCAACAAAAACCAACTAATAATTTCGGGGGATTTTAATATTGACCTCTGCGAGCCTGATAACCCTCAAGCTGTTAGTTTCCTCAACTGTATGAATTTCTGCTTGCTCATACCCTTAATCACTAAACCTACCAGAATTACTGATACGACTGCCTCTACTCTTTATCACATTTGGACTAACATTACCTCTCCACTCACTTCAGGGATAATCACTGATAGGACCACAGACCATTACCCCACATTTCTTCTAACCGATATTAATAAACCACCTCTAGATACAATGAAAATAAGCTTTAGGCTGCACAATGAAACTTCTATAAGCAACTTTGTTGCTGCTGCTGCTAATATCAACTGGGAGACTGAATTAGGTAACATAGTGAATATCAACCTAGCAGGACTCGCTGCTGGCGCCATTGCTAGCTGGCCGCACAGTTTTAGTTTAGTTCATTTATTATGCACCCCATACCCATCTTGTGGGCGGTAGTGGAAAGGGTTACAGAGGCACATAATAGGCTCAGGGACTGAACCCCACAATTCATTTAGCTAAGCAAGTTACAATCTTGATGAGCTAGTTACAAAATTCAATATAAGTCATCACATCAACAATGGGTTCGAGATCGACCTCAAGTACAGGTTCTAAATTAAGCAACTGACATATGTGGAGAGCTAGTGTCAAAATTTATATGTTTGTCCTGCACACCGCCCCCCATCCAGTGGGCAGCGGTGGATAGGTTACAATCACTTAGTTACTACCTACAGTTAGCAAACTGGGGATATTTGGCTAAAATTTCTGGTAGCAGATCATTTTGAATGAAATATTGACACATCGCTGGAACATTGGTTATAGAATTGTCTCTAAATTCACGTATCTTTTCGCACTCCATCACATAGTGACGGAGGGTGTGCGAATAATTTTGTTGACACAGTTTACATTTGGTCAGGTCTACATCAGCAGATAATGAGAATTCCCAGAGATACTTGTAACCGAGTCTAAGCCGAGCAGTAGTAACATCTACATTGGTCTACGTCTACGTAATACGTAATACGTCTACGTAATAACATTGGATAGGACAATATCCAATTCTGGCCCCAGACATCACTCGGTACCCCTACTTAAATCTCTGAATATGTTAGACATTAAGTCACTGCACATTCTCTCATGTGTATTATACATATATAAAACGCTAAACTATAATGCCAATCCTGATCTCAAAAGCTTCATAGAAGGTTGTATCAGAACCCATGAGCATCACACCAGAAATAAATACAGTTTTGATATTCCTAGAGTACGACTTAATCAAACTAGAAATGCTCTACAAATCAAGGGGCCCAGAATGTGGAATGACCTTCCCAACCATGTTAAAGACTGTACCTCTCTCAACCAGTTTAAGTTAAAAGCGAAGCTATACCTAATAAATTCCCTGTAACCTACCTTACCCTTCTATTGTCAACCAATGTCTGTTTTTTTCTTTAAAGAGCGCTGTTTGTCGACATAATTGTATTTGTGCTGCTTTTTCATCTATGTTTTCATTTCTTGTTTTCATTCTACTCATTATGCTCAATTAGTATTAAGCTTGTCATTTACGTTTATCATGCCCGAAACGCTTTGCGTAATAGTGGCTTTAGGCATTGTATGTACTAGCTCTACCTATAAGTCAAACAATCCTTGTAAAAATTTATTGTATGTATGTACCTTATCTAAATAAAATTGTATTGTATTGTTGTATTGTAAATTGTATCTAGAAGTCTGCTGATTTTATTGGATGATCCATAGATGTGTGGCTCCTCTTGCATGATAGTATGATGATAGATGGAATTACTGGTGTCAATTTCACTTTGCCTCAGATCTACAAGATCACACCAATTTGTTTCCTTGAAAACTTCAGATTCTGAGCACCCATCAGCTCAAATCATTGCGGTTTTGTGAGGAATAATATATTAATACTCCAAGACCCGGAGAGTATCTTCTTTTCGAGGGAAATAATACAGATTTCGTCTACAATTAAGGACAAAGAACGTTGTTGATTAGCTGCTGTCCAGCTGACTGGTATTCTGCGCAACCCAGTATGCAAGCGACCCAAACTATCATACCGCACGTCGCCCATGACTGATATTTTTTATGACCATATCATTGACCATATTACACAAGTAATATGTCCATATATGGACCATATTACTATGTCCTACTATGGTCCTAATATGGTCCACTTAGAGTCCTACCCTGAAGAGCGAGGCGATACCCTGCGGGCATCGTCACAAGGGAGCACCTTAGAAGGTGTACTGAGCCTGACAGGGAAAGGTAGACCAAACTGCTCATTTAGATGTTAGGTATTCCTGATTCCGCCTGGGGGAATCATTTTACGACCTCCGTTGGAAGGGAATGAATTTCTCCAGGTCTAGGAGTTTCTCAGGCATTAGGTAGGGCAGTGAATCGGTCCTCACTACGTTGAGACGTCATGGGAAAGTCAAAGAGAAAGAGGCAATGGAGGCAGCTTTCAGACAAGGAGGGACAGTGGACCGAGGTACCGAAGGCACCGAAGAAAACTGCTATCGAGGCTTCAAAAAGTGCTTCTGTCGGCAAGAGAGCAGACATAATGGACCTAGAGGGGACAGCATCAGTCACACACCATCCAGTGTCAGACAATGCTTCTCTGTCCACAACCCAGCCACAAGACGACAGTATGAGACAGGAGAGGACACCACCAGTCTCACACTGGTATGTCAAAATAATGCAGACATACCACTTTCCTACAGCAGATGGAGTAGTAACGGCAATGGAAAAGGAACAACCAGAGCTCAAACTTTCCATCACAGTCAACCTGAAAGGAGAAATAATAATGACACCACGAGACTAACAGACTGCAAATTACTTAGAAAAAGTAAAAGTCCTGCAAGGGAAACCTGTATGCTTGGAAAAGCTGGATCCTTCAGAAAGACGCACACGAGTCGTGCTTTTGGGATACCCAATCGATTTTTCCCTGGATCCAGAACTAGAACACAAGCAAATCCTGAATGCGGAACGATGCCGCACAAAAGTAGATAAGGCAGTGACACGTCAGGTTTTAGTGACCGTCATGAGACATGTGCCAGAGACATTCAGTCTTGGAAATTGGGGAATATACCGACAGAGACCATACGTCCCGGAACCCCTGCGCTGCTTCAGGTTAGAAATACGGCCACCATCAATCACACTGTACCGGACAGGAGAGATACGGAGTGTGCAGCCCAAGGCATCCAACCAAAGACTGAATAGCCAAGTTAGTTAGTTAGTTTAGTTCATATATTATGCACCCCATACCCATCTTGTATTCGCACAAGGCAAACCAGACCACAACAACCAAATGTCCATATTGTGGAGGCAAACATCATGCCTGGAGCACAACCTGCTCTGCACGAAAAAAAAAGTGTATATAGCTCAGGCCAGGATAAACACATAGACTAGCACTACATACTCAAAAATCAACGTCTGAAACACTCGTGTACAGCCAAACACACACCCACTCTCACAGATCAAAATTTCGAGAATCTATCATTTCCAAATCAGAAAATACACAAAAATGCTGCAGAAATACAGGAAAAGCAAAATAGCAAACAACAATCACTTTCGGAATCAACACAACAAATATACAGTTTTAACCAAGGTCCAGCTGAAAAACATCGTGAAGATCATGGCAGAGACCATTATCAATTGCCTACAGATGACGCAGAGCGCCTCACAACAGCAGACTCAAGAAATTACTTGTGTAATAACGGACAAGATCCTGCAGCAGTTCACAGTTACACAAGAAATAGACAGTCTGAGACAAGACAGAGCACAAGAGGACAAACAACGCAATATGGACATACAGACTACCAACAACAGTCGGATAGTCAAGACACCAGAACATCAACATTCACAAAAGCAACTGCAAGAAATAGTGACCACCCAAGATCAACAGAATCTTACAACACAAGAGACAGACAACAACAGCCAATGCAGTGTGATATGCAACAACACCAACAGAAGTATTGAACAGCAGAGATACACAGGTTCCAACAACACAAGATGCAGGTATGAACAATCAATGCAGCAACATCAACATTGAAATACTGGATGGGAGAGATGCACAGATTCCGAAAACAAGAAACGGCCACAAGCATTCAATGCAGTCCAATATGCAGCAATACCAACAGCAAAGCGATGGACTACAGTTATGCACAGATTCCAACAATGCAGGGGATGACCTTGCGCAATCAGTGCAGTCCGATTTGCAGCGACACGACTTGCGAGGTGGAGAATATAGAGGTCGATTCCTAAGAGGAGTTCAGATTCAGATTCAGATGTTTATTCAGGTAAGGTATATACATACAAGTGATGTTACATTAATGGATTGATATATAGATAGAGCTAGTACATACAATGCCTAAAGCCACTATTACGCAATGCGTTTCGGGCAAGAAAAACATTAATATCTAGAACTTAATACTAATTGAGCATAAAGAATAAAAGATGTTGAGAACAAATACAAATAAAGATAAAAAAAAAGGGGGAACATGACTGAAAAAGCAGCACAAATACAATAGGTTGACAGTGTTGATTAAAAAAAAAAAAAAAAAAAAAAAAAAAAAAAAAATAACAGACATGGGTTGACAATAGAGGAGTGAGGTAGATTACAGGGAATTTATTAGGTAGTGTTTAGTTTTTATCTTAAACTGGTTGAGAGAGGTACAGTCTTTAACATGGTTGGGAAGGTCATTCCACATTCTGGGCCCCTTGATTTGCAGAGCATTTCTAGTTTGATTAAGACGTACTCTAGGAATATCAAAACTGTATTTATTTCTGGTGTGGTGCTCATGGGTTCTGTTACAACCTTCTATGAACCTTTTAAGATCAGGATTGGCATTATAGTTTAGCGTTTTATATATGTATAATACACATGAGAGAATGTGCAGTGACTTAATATCTAACATATTAAGAGATTTGAGTAGGGGTACCGAGTGATGTCTGGGGCCAGAGTTGGATATTGTTCTAATAGCGGCTTTGTGTTGGGTAATTAGAGGACGTAAGTGATTTTGGGTAGTAGAACCCCAAGCACAAATACCATAGTTGAGATAAGGATAGATAAGGGAGTAATAGAGAGTCACCAGGGCAGGGCGTGGTACATAATATCTGATCTTAGAAAGAATGCCCACAGTTTTTGAAACTTTTTTTGATATATTTAGAATGTGTCCCTGGAAATTCAGCTTGTGGTCAATGAGAATGCCAAGGAATTTGCCATCTAATTTGTTACAAATTTGGGTATTGTTTATTTTGAGATTTATAAGACTAGAGGATTTATTGCCAAACAGAATATAGAAGGTTTTGTCAATGTTAAGGGTGAGTTTGTTGGCAGTTAGCCAAAGATGGACTTTATTTAGCTCAGTATTTACTGTGGCATTTAGAGCAAGAGGGTCAGGACTGGAGTAAATGAAGGTTGTGTCGTCAGCAAATAGAATTGGTTTGAGGTGTTGGGAGGCATTTGGAAGGTCATTAATGTAGATGAGAAAGAGGAGAGGGCCAAGTATGCTGCCCTGAGGAACACCAATGTTGATGGGTAGGGTGGGAGAAATTGTATTATTCACAGAAACATATTGGAGCCTGTCAGTAAGGTAGGACTCGAGGTATTGTAGGGAGTGTCCTCTGACTCCATAATGATGTAATTTAAGAAGAAGGTTATGGTGGCTGACAGTATCAAAAGCTTTACGCAGGTCCACAAATAACCCAACAGGGAACTCCTTTTTATCAAGAGCTGTATGAATCGAGTTAAGCATACTAATAAGTGCATCGTTAGTGCTTTTTTTGGGTCTGAAGCCATATTGGCAAGGGCTAAGTATATTGAGTTTGGCTAGATATGAGTAAAGCTGCTTGTATATAAGTTTTTCAAAAATTTTTGACAAGTTTGGCAGGATTGATATAGGTCTGTAGTTGTTAACATCTGTGGGGTCACCACATTTGTGGACAGGCGTTACTCTCGCTTTTTTTAGAATATCTGGAAAGGTTTGGAGTTCAAGTGACTTGTTGAAGAGAAAAGCAATAGCAGGGGCTAAAGATCTGGAGGCTTTTTTGTAAATTAAAGTTGGTATCTCCTCAAGGGCACCAGACTTGGTTTTAAGGGAAAGGATTATCTCATTGACGTCAGTGGAGTTAATAGGCTTTAGGTACAGAGACTGTGGATAGTTACCTGTAAGATAGTCCTTAATGTCAGTACTGGAAGATGGAATATCATTTGCAAGGGATGAACCAATGGAAGAGAAGAACCTATTGAACTCAATAGCAGAATCAGAGGCTGAAAGCTGACCATCGTTATTAGACAGGAGAGTCGGTTTGTTATTTAAAGATTTCTTTGATCCCAATATTTGTGAAATTGTGCTCCAAGTTTGTTTAATGTTGCTCTTTATTTGAGTAAATTTATCTTCGTAGTATTTAGTTTTGGCTCGTCTAATTATCTTAGATAGCAATAATGAGTAATTCTTTGAGAATTCTTTGGAGACAATTCCTAACCTATACTTCTTCTCAAGGTCAAGGTTCTACTAGAACAGGCAATACCAACCGAAATCGTCGTCTGGCCATTACGAATACTGCAGTGGAAAATACAAGATCTTGGAAATAAAAAACACACTCTTCAGGATGCTGCAATCAGCACGAAAGCAGATATTATCGTTTTGGAAGAAACTTTATTCCCAGCCACGAAATCCTTCAGATTAGCTGGATATCAGCACTATGTTATACCGTATGAGCAGGGGAGACAAAGAGGGTTAATGACCCTAGTCAAGAACACCATACCTAGCAAGAAAATAGACCCAGTTTCATGTGGGGATGGAGTAGAGGTATTAGCAGTAACAGTGAATATGGCTAATATTGAGCTCCTCATATAGAACGTTTACAAGCCCCCTAGACGTAAACTAGAAGCAGAGGCAGTGCTTGCCTTGGTCACACAGGAAAATGTAATTATTGCTGGGGATTTTAATGTTCATCAAGAGTTAGGTGCGACTGGGCCAGCCAATGCAGATGGGCGCCATTTGGCTGCAGTTCTGCGAGAAGTACCTGAAATTACACTACTCAACACTGCGGAACCCGCTCACATTCTAGGAGGTTCCCTTGATCTTACATAAATTTCAACAGCACTCAAGCATCAGGCGAAGTGGGAAGTAGACCCGGTGATCACCAGTGACCACTATGCTACTGTCACAACACTAAACACAGAACGACTTCCTACACCACCTGCACAACCTAGGTAGAATTTATAAAAGGCCAATTGGAATATATACCAAGAGGAACTTGAAAAATGGTATGCAACATACACGCCACCTGAGGATTTGAACATACACGAGACCAATCTGCAGGAAGCCATTGCAGCTCCTGCAAACAAAGCTATTCCAATCATTATCCCAGCTAACACAAAAGCAATTCAAAAGGCTATGGAACATGCTCTTGTTGAACACCGACAACACTTTATCATGCATACAGATTCGAAAACCGCCATTGAAACCTTGCAACAAGAACACATAGGTGATAACATCCATCTGGTCACAAATGTCATATCATTAATGCAAACACTCAAACGACAAGGCTGTTGGGTACTTATCAACTGGGTGCCAAGTCATGTGGGAATAATAGGAAATGACATTGCAGACGAAGCTGCAAAACTTGCAACTAAGAGAAGAAATGTAGACATTTACATACCACAGAGTCTATCACAGATTAAGAAAGTAATTAGAAACAGAGCAATGCAAAAGATGTACAGTGACCACAACACAGCAGTTGCAACATCAGGATCTGCGGGTTGGTACAAGAATTCAACCAACTACGAACCACTTAAGTTTGATGAAAGGGAGCAGTAGAACAACAGAAGTACACTTATATCACATCAGGCTTGGATACCCATGTGCATGGGAAATAGGGTTACAGGTTCCGGAAGACGAGAGGAAATGTCAGACTGTGGAGAAATGCCCGACAGACCACTGGAACATGATCTAACACAGTGCACAGTTACAAACCCATTAAGATTTTAACTTAGATTCAACAGAGCAGAAGAAGTTGTTAAACACATATGGCAAAATCTTACTGAAGCGACCTTACGAGTCATAAATACTCATACTCCGCTCAAGTAAAACAGAAACAAGCAACACTTAGTGGGCCAGCTAGAGGCTTAGGGCCTGCGCAGGAATATATCTGCAAAAAAAAAAATCTAATGTGGCTGCTACAGGACCTAGCAATCTTGACTCCCAGTAAAATTAATGCAAATTCTATGAAAAGAAAACTCTGCTTTCCTCCCATTCTCTGAGATTAACAAAAAAAGATACTGTAGTTCATTTTTATTAATGAATCATAAACAATTACCATTATTTATCATCTATGTCTGAAAACAAATACTGTATATTAGTTTAGTATTAGTGACATTATTCTTAGCATAAAGTGTGCAGTATTTACAAAGCTGTATACCTTGTCCTTAGACAGCCTCTGCTTCCACAGAAACAATAGAGGTGGCCCAACTTTCCTTCTCACTTCTAACACTAGCCATGAAAATTATCTCAACCTACCAGAAGAACGTTACAACCCAACAAATCATCAATGGTGACATGGAAGACAACCAGCAATTTAAGCTACCCTGCTGTATTCAGGTTTGGCTAAAACTTTTAATATCACTTATGTCTGTGCGAATATTGTACTTTAAGAATTAAGATGTTGTTCATCCAGAATTATTGATACATTAGGCAAGAACGTCATGAGGCAGTAACTTAAGCTAAACTAATTAGGCTTCCAATAATATCAGTATGTGCATACATGATTTTAATACTACTAATTATTAATTCATTAATAATATACTTCTAATGCACTATTATAAGCATATTATTAATGATTATCAACCCTGCCTGATAAACTATCAACATCAGCACTGCAAGGATTTTTTTGTGTTGCAGATAGTGGCAACTGTGTGGTGGGCGTCATTCCTTGTGGCGAGGTTTGAGGCCATGGCGCTCTTTGCTGGTGCTTATAAGTGGTGGATTTTTGTGGTTATCGGCATCCATGTTGTGCTGGTCGCTCTCTTTCAAACAATGGCAGTCAAGAAGAACAGGATTAAGAGGATATTTATTTATCTCTTCAGTGGTTTTATCTTTATCTTTGCTTATTTAGAGTTCAATATGAAAGCTAGAGTAAAGGTAAGAAAATAACTTATTGTATGCAATTACAGGAAGTAACTTAATTGGCTCTAGTGCATAATGTTAATAAACATTATATATATACTTAACACAATGTAATCTCGTTCGGGTAAATCAAGGTGAGCAGGATCCCTTGGAGAGCTGGAAAATACTATTAGGACACAAATGCTCCGTAGTTTGGAATACATGGTGCACTGTACCAATTTGTTTTGGTGAACTGACCCAAATAGGTAATAGCATACCTTTATTAGTAGAGTAAAGTGCGACGTAATGGGTATACGAGCCATCCTGGGCATGGCGTGTAGATCCCATAGACTTTATTGTTATTTGAGGTGTGCAAATCCAGTAGACTATATTGTGATTTGAGAAAAGGTATGTGACTCCTATAGACTTTATTCGGTTTTAAGAAAATGTGTGCAATTCATACTTTATCAGAAAAATTCCCATAGATTTAGATGTTCGTAAAGGGGGTTTTAAGTGTGAAGACTTAATCTCATGTTGTTGTTGTGGGAAATTATTTCCACATCTTACATTAAATAGATTATCAACCATAAATAACACTTAAATATATTAAATTAAATTCTTACGAGGATTCGTCCTCTGTTTAAATTTATATATACAGGGGTTACCTCAGTTTTCATGGTTAATCCATTCCCAGAGACGGTATGAAAACCGAAACGAATTTGCCCATAAGAAATATTGTAAATTGAATTAATCCATTCCACACTCAAATATATTAACTAAAAAATACATTTTATACAGAATAATACTCTTAGGTACCTTACCTTATCTTTATTGAGGACTCTTGTTGGCATTTGGAAGATTGTGAGGAAGGGGGGGGGGGAGGAAGAGAGGTGTTAGTGTTTGGAAGGGGCGTCCCCTTCCATTATAACAGCAGTGATGACATTTTTGGGGGTACTCTCTCTCATACGTTTTGCAGCCATACCACTAGGACCTAGTTGTGGTTCACTGCTTGCTTGTCTTACTAAGAATCTGTCTATAGACACTTGTTTTTCCCTATGCTTTAACACTTGTCTGTATAGTGAGACATCACATTGTCTCACTATGAATGATCTCTCGTTTTTCCCCTATCGTCATCCTCACAACTATTTTCTTAGGTTGAACATTACCACTGACTTTCTTGGAACCCATGGCATGATATATAATAAGAACTTTTATGTTCAGAAACCAGAAATGCACAAAAACAATTAAATTCTTCACAAAGAAGTCAAGGGCGATCATCACTAGGCAGGAGACTGGTAAACTGAAGCGCTGCGCTCACGGTGGACGTGAATGAACAGACTCAGAGCACCGATGTACCGACTCAAACTTTTCAGAGAAATTGAGTACAAGTACCGAAAAATACGAGAACAGGAACGTACGAGAACCAAGGTTCCACTGTAAAGAAGAATTAAATAATATGTAGTAATATGGGCTGATGTCAGATACTTATCAACTGGGTGCCAAGTCATGTGGGAATAATAGGAAATGACATTGCAGACGAAGCTGCAAAACTTGCAACTAAGAGAAGAAATGTAGACATTTACATACCACAGAATCTATCACAGATTAAGAAAGTAATTAGAAACAGAGCAATGCAAACGATGTACAGTGACCACAACACAGCAGTTGCAACATCAGGATCTGCGGGTTGATACAAAAATTCAACCAACTACGAACCCCTTAGTTTGATGAAAGGGAGCAGTAGAGCAACAGAAGTACACTTACATCGCATCAGGCTTGGATACCCATGTGCATGGGAAATAGGCTTACAGGTTCCGGAAGACGAGAGGAAATGTGAACACTGTGGAGAAATGACAGGCAGACCACTGGAACATTATCTAACACAGTGAACAGTTACAAACCCATTAAGATTTCAACTTAAATTCAACAGAATCTTAGTTGAATATATCATCCCAAGAAGTTGTTAAACACATATGGCAAAATCTTACTGAAGCGACCATACGAGTAATAAATACTCATACTCCGCCCAAGTAAAACAGAAACAAGCAACACTTAGTGGGCCAGCCAGAGGCTTAGGGCCCGCACAGGAATATCCCTGCAAAAAAAAAAATGGGCTGATGCAATACTCATTGAGGGCTTCTTCAATTTCCATATCTTGTTTCTTTCTCTAGTTCTTTTATTTAATTTATACCTCCTGTCTCACCTTGTCAATCAAGCAGGTAATTTCTTCCTGCTGTTGTGAAATGCTTCTGTCATATACAAGAAGTGTTCCTTCATAAATCTTTATCAAATTCACTACTATCAATAACCTGCCTTGGAAATCTTCTGTGTCTATTTCCTGCTTAGTGAAACAGGTCAAGTGAGATAACTGGTTGCAATAAGTTAGGAAAAATATTCAAGAAATGAAAGCATGAATATCAGTTCATTCTGATGAACTTGGTGATACTAAATAGCTAGAAATGGAGAAATGCTTGAATAGCAGGATTTCTCTGGGAAATGTTACTGGTACTAGGTCCGAAATAGTCTACCCGAGCGAGGTTACACTATTTGAAATCTTTATGACAGAATATATGACTTGAATATGTATTTTTTTTTTAATTTTACAGGTGGCCCCATGGTTTCCCTACACAATATACGCTGTATTAGTGTTCATGGAAAACTCCATCATGTTGGTGCTATGGTTCTTTGCTCAACAGATTGCCACATTTAGCCTCCCTGAAGCTGACAAAGAGGTCTTTACAACACATCGTGAATATCTCATATTTGTTCATTATGGTGCATTCTGCTTTGGACTTCTAATGATGATCTTAACGTTCTGTTGTCTGTCTAAAAGATCTCAAGACATTAATGGCAAGGATAATGAGGAAGAAATGAGGACAGTACTAAGATCTTACAACTGAAATATAAGAAATGCAAGTTTTTTTTGAGATCTAAAATAAAAAATGAGATTTGTAACATTCTTACTATTTAGGTTCAATTAGGGCAAATTTTTGTGGATGTGTTCTTACAAAGAGAAACCCATTTACCTTTGAATTCTTACTACACGTATAAATTAAGAAAAGTATTTCTGGGTGTGATGTGAAAGCCATGGAAACTGAAACAAAATAAATTTATTTATAAGAAATAATTATGGTAACTGCAGTACAATTGTGAAGTTAAAATAAACAAATGATAAATACAGTCAATAAAATGAGCACAACATGACAAAATAAATACTCCTTAAAACAGAACTGAGACAGGCACAAGGTACAAGACCAGACGTAAAAGAAATGAGGCACACAGAGACAAAAATAAATAAATCAAGCCTACTAAGTGGAAATGCTATAAGACAAACAGGTGTAAAGTTTACACTGAGAACTGGACAAGGAAAGCAACAGAGGACTGAAGTAAGAGGAACCGAAAGAACTCTGGGAAGTATGCTTAATAAAGATGGGATGAATACAACCTAGGAGAAGACACTTAATAAAACAGGAGCCTGACTTGTAAGTTTGGGTGGGTCCTAGCAACCCCTCCCCCCCCCCCTCCCATCAGCCCAGAGGGCCCTGGTAAGTGATGTACAGCTAAATTCAGAATAGACAAGTCATTTATTTAATTATTTATATACAAGATGGTACATTGGGTATGTGAGAGTATATAGTATAATGTGTTTAAATCTTGTAAAGCCACTAGTATGCACAGCATTTTGGACAGGTCCTTAATCTAACAAGTAATATTAAGTAGGTAAATTCTAGTAAAATTTATAAAATGTTAATAGGTACATTGTAAGAAAATTTGATAAAGATTTGTAGGTATATTAAAACACATTGATAGCTCTGATAGCTTGATTGATGATTTGACAAAGATTAGTAGGTACATTAAAGCATATTGATAGCACATATAAGATGACACTAATGATCACAATGGTAAAATTGTTTGGCTTAGGTACATAGATACTGGGGGATTGGGTAGCACTGCATACAGTGCGAGTTTAAAGCACTAGGTAGGAAACAATGAAGATGAAATTAGGTAATTTTTGGTTTTGCTTTTGAATAAGATAAAAGTTGGACAGCTTTTCAATTCCTTAGGGAATGAGTTCCATAAACCAGGTCCCTTTATTTGCATAGTGTTTACACAGATTTAGTTTGACTCTAGGTATATCAAAGAGATATTTATTTCTGGTGTGGTGATTATGGGGCCCCCTATTGCATCTGTCCAGGAAGAGTTTAAGAGCAGGATTTACATTTAAGAACAGGGTTTTGTAAATATAGATGGTTCAAGAGAATGTGTGGTGTGAGCTTATGTTTTAGCATGCTTAGGGATTTAAACTGGGAGGGGGGGGGGGGGCTGAAAGTTGTCAGAAAGAGTTTGTTATTGTTCTGATAGCAGATTTTTGCTGGGTGATGATGGACTTCAGGTAGTTTGCAGTGGTTGAACCCCATGCACAGATAAAAAAAGTAAGATAGGGACAGATTAGTGCATTGTATAGTGAGAGGAAAGCAGAGCTAGGCACATAATATCTGATTCTAGAGAGTATACGAACTGTTTTAGAGACTTTCTTAGTTATGTGTTGTATGTGAGTGCTGAAGTCGAGTCTCTTGTGTACGTATAGGCCAAGGAATTTTCCATCTTTTTATTGCTGATGCTAACATTGTGTATCTGAAGCTAAATTGCATTTGTTGATTTGCTTTCAAATAAGATGTAGTAGGTCTTTTCTATATTTAGTGTGAGTTTGCTGGTTGACATCCATAACTAGACTTTTTTAATGCATTATCTACAACATTATTTAATATGTGGCAGTTGGGGTCTGGGTAGATGAGGGTAGTATCATCAGCAAATAATATAGGTTTAAGAATGTTAAAGACATTAGGCAGATCATTGATGTATATAAGAAATAGGAGGGGTCCTAGGATGCTGCCCTGTGGCACCTCTACAGTTAATGGGTTAATTGTGGAGTGGGGGAGATTATATAATTGATGGCTACATATTGGTGTCTATCACTAAGATAGGATCGGATATAGTTCAATGCAAGGCCTCGGATTCCGTAATGGAGGAGTTTAAGTAAGCGGTAGTTGTGGTTAATAGTATCAAAGGCCTTTCTCAGGTCAATGAAGAGTCCAATCGGAAACTAATTTTTGTCAAGGGCTGAGTAGATTATATCAAGCAGACTAATAATTGCATTGTTGGTACTCTTTTGAGAGCAGAAGTCAAACTGACAGGGGGTGAGTATGTCGAATTTTACGAGGTAGGAGTTGAGCTGTTTGTAAATACTTTTTTTCAAATATTTTTTATATGGGTAGGTTTACTATTGGTCTGTAATTTTTTATGTCTGCCGGATTGCCTCGTTTATGAACTGGTGTTACTCGTGCTTTTTAAGAATATCAGAGAAGGTATGACACTCTAGATATTTATTGAATAGCAGAGCTATCTTGAGGTTATCTTGAGATGATTTCGGGGCTTTTAGTGTCCCCGCGGCCCGGTCCTCGACCAGGCCTCCACCCCCAGGAAGCAGCCCGTGACAGCTGACTAACACCCAGGTACCTATTTTACTGCTAGGTAACAGGGGCATAGGGTGAAAGAAACTCTGCCCATTGTTTCTCGCCGGCGCCTGGGATCGAACCCAGGACCACAGGATCACAAGTCCCGCGTGCTGTCCGCTCGGCCGACCGGCTCCCTATGGAGGTGCAAGGGCATGGGAGGCACTCTTGTAACTATGGATGATGTTTCACTAATGTTCCCAGCTTTGATTTTTAGTGAATGAATGATGGACACATCTGTTGAGCTGACTGGTGAAAGGAGAAGTGTTTGGATAGCTGCCCGAAAGATGTGTTAAATGTGTCCGAGTCTGTGGGATTTTTTCTAGCAAGGTTAGCACTTAGAAAAGAAGCTATTAAATTCAGTTGACATTTCTAAATCAGTTGCAGGTGTATAACCATCCTTTGAGAGTTTTATCTGGTTATGTGAGTGTTGTTTAGTTCCTAGGAAGTTAGAGATGGCTCTCCATGCGGTCCGTCTAATTACCACAAGCTACCACAAGCTACACAAGCTTCATAAAGCTTCCTGGCAATACGTTAGTAATGAATAAATGTGATATATTTACTCATTATAATGTTGGTGATGAATGTACAACACGGAAAAACATAATTTTAATCTGAAAAAGTATCTTTTTATAAAGAAATTAGACGAAAAAAAAAAAGCTGGTGACGCCAAATCAAGTCGACGATCCAAGCGTCGGTTAGGTTAGGTTAGGTTTGGTTAAGTTAGATTAGGTTAGGTCAAGTCAGGTTAGGCCAGCCTAACCTAACATATCATATTTATTCATTACTAACGTATTGCCAGGAAGCTTTGTAAAGCTTGTGAAGCTTGTGTAGCTTGTGGTAGCTTTTGGTAATTAGACGGACCCTCTCCATGTGCTTTTCATGTTGCCTTTTGCTTCTTTGAATCTACTCTCATTAAAGCAAAGTTTTGTTTTTCTTATTATACTGGTAAGCATTGATTATCTCTTAACTACTTCCTTTGTAACTAGGCCAATCCCAAGTTTTTTCATATTCATGTTTCTTGATTGTATTGAATATGCCACTTGTGAGCCACGAATTGTTTATTCTTTTGTCAGTTACTTGCTTGGTGAGGAGGGGGTGACAATGAGTGTTGTAGAAGCTTAGAGTTTTGGAAAGGAAGATGTTGGCTAATGAATTTATATCCTGTGTATTATAAAATTCAGATTCCCAGTTAATACTGTGAAGTGCATTTGTTAGGGTTGCCTATTGCCTCTTCATTGTGTAGCCTGAAGGTAAGTTTCTTGTTTTCTGGTGGTGTTATGTCCATGTTTGCTATGAGGAAGGTAGGATAGTGGTCAGATGTTCTGTCAGTGATTATACCAGATGCGAGGGGAGCTGTTATGTTAATCTATAAGTGATCCAAGGTAGTAGCAGATGTTTGAGTAATTCGGGTGGGCTTGGTGCTTGTGGGGGATTAGCATACAGGAGTTCATGTTTTATAGGAAATAGTTGACTTGGGGGCTATTTTGTTGACATAGGTCAATATTGAAGTCTCCTCCTAGAATGATGTGATTTTTGTTCAGATTGTTTGTCATGTATTTAATAGGTAAATTAAAGAACAATAAAAGTATTAAAATTTCATTTATTAATTCAATAAACATACATATTTGATGATACACTACTGTATGTATATACTTTGTTCATATATCTATAAAAAGTGGAAGCCTAGGGCTAATAAAATTATACATGTACAAAAATAGGGAAGTACTATGTTAAGATTTTTGTTTTTAACTCAGCTGCTTCCTTAAACTTTAAATAAATGCTTACTACTGGCTTAATAAAAGCTGTACTCTTGACAACATTACTAATAATTATATTTTCAATAAATTTTAAAATATTTAAACAAAAATTCAACATAAATTAAACACTACATTATCTAGTCCATATAAAAATTATACTAATAATCTTGCATGACTAATACTGTACCTAACACCTTTTCTCATTATGCAATTATAGTAATAATTCTCTTTAAGAGGCACAGGGAGCAATGGCTTAAGAAAACTTTACATTTAAAGTATGTCATCCTTGCCATCAACCAGGAAAGGCACCCAGAAAGGTAGGCAAACGAAAACAGACCATTGTCAGGTTGAAAATTGAGATCTACGTCCTTAAAAAAGCAAAAGAACTCTCTTTGAAAGAAAAACAAGCTTCATCTAACTAGGCCCCCCCCGCTCGTTATTGCCACCCCCACCCGCAAGGGGAGAAGGAGCAAGCAACCCACCAATACAGTTCTTGAATGATGAAAGCTGCCAACTAGAGAAAGGGATGTCAAGGAGCCTCTGAAGCTCACCCACAAACTGGCATTTCATTACATTCAATTCTGGTTTTGTGTGGGAAGCCCTGTCGGCTCCCTGAAGCTAACTACCCATAGAGAAGGAAAACGGACTTACCATGATGGCAGCAACAGTGCAAGTCTCAACGAGAGGAAGAGCCAAACAACCGCAAAAAGCGCCCCAAAGCCACACAAGGCCACAGTGGAACTGGGACATTCACGAGATATCTGGCAGCCAGGACTCTGTTCAACCTCCAAAACTCCAGCGCCTGAATATCATCCCAAGACTTATTGCCAAAGACAGCCGAAAGAGCAGCATACTTTCTAACATCATGGACGTGAGGGTAGACTGCAGGTTGGCTAGGCTTAATGACACTGAGGACAACCTGAGAAACACGAACCCTGGAACAGGGAAACTGTATCAACCCAGAGCACGTCCACCGACACACAGAACTGGTGGCTTGCAGCTGATATCGGACACAGCACGTGATGCACCCCTGACCGAACCAACCAAGCATCCACCACCAATGGACCCCTCTGGAAACCTGCAGTCTCATTCTTCCCCAGAAAAGGAGCCGGCTCCAAAGGAACAAAATCACCGGAACCAAGCGAACAGAACTCCTGGCATCGGAGGAGAGCATGAAGCCATCCAACCCAACCCCCAGAGGCCAACACCAACAAAAACAACGCCTTCCTAAAATAATCACGAACCGAAGGGGCTACCACAAACTGAGGAGAGAAAAGAAAGGAAAGAACCCGGTTCAAAGACCAAGAAGGCTCAGGTTGTGTATAAGCAGGCTGAAGGTAAAAAATGAACAAGAAAGCTTGCAAAACTGAGCGGAAGTGACATACACCAAGAAAGGAAGCAACAGTGGCTCCCCCAACGACGCATGATAAGAAGCGACAGTATTTGACATGAGATGCCGATCCAGAAAAAGCCAAGAGAGAAAAGACAAAACAACCCTGTCTAATACTGTACTGGCGAAAAGAAAGAAAATGGCGGAAAGACTGTCAAAAGACTTCATACTGTCACTGAGACGAAGACCGCAGGTGGAACACCATCAAAGAAGTCAACTGATCACCATACAAATGGTGTTATACATGCATCAGAAATACCAAACGTGTAATTCAGAGGAGTACCAGCGAGGTA